CGTCAGAGTCAATTAAAGCAGCAGTCAAGTTACACTTCTGTACATTCGTCAGTATGCTTGCTGCTTCAGTTGCTTTAATACTTGAGCTGTGCGAATTGTTTGCGACCTTTAACCGAATTTCGGAAGGAAGATGTTTCCGATTTCTCCGCCATCGATCCAAAACATCATTTGCTTGTTGCTCTGACTGAACCACAAGTTTTAGGATTCTAGGGCCGCATCCTCTATAATTCGATGAGAGAGGTATCCTGGTGAGCGATAGTGCCACAACATCATCCAAAGAAAGTGTTTCACGAATGAACCGCCACTGTTCTAAATCGTGCTTTCCGGTATCTTGAACATGGTTAGAAGGATGTTCTGGCACACCATGTATGAAGACTGTGTTTAGGCGGTCTTGCTTGCTGTGCCCCTCTTCGGTGTTTCGTTTTGGTTGTCGCGCGCTCCAAGGGACATCAGGATAGATACGTATCCCACAGGATTCGTGTTTTAGCGCGCTTGCGGAGAGCAAAACATTTTCCACGTCGGTGGAGGACTCTAGAGTTACTCGAATAAGTCTGGGTTCACCATAGTGTGGCGAGTTCGGATGACGAGTAATTCGTAACAAGTTTATGGGTTTGGCTTTGATACTCATCTGCATACACAATGAGTTCCATTGGTCTTGGTCGTCTGATAACTTATCCCGCAATGTGATGGCGGTAGATTCAGGGACATTTGAGCATACAACAGTCCGGGCACTGTTGTTAGATCCCTTTTTAATCGATCTACAAGGTATGGTACTTATTTGTCTTGACTTGTATACAAGTGATTGCTTGCTGTTTTTCTCTCCATTTGCGTTAACGGTGTTTACAATGGCAGAGGACGCAACGGCGGCCTCTTGGTGGACCCTTGCAGCAATCTCTGCATATGTAACCGATATTCTGGGAGGCTTAGTCTCGACAAGAGATATTTGAGCTACAGGTACCAAGGGTTGGTGTTTGGCTGCTTCATCCTTGTTAACACTAGATGTCAGGTCTAGTGGAGCTTGCTTAACCAGACGTTTTGAGTGGTGCCTGATTTTCTTTGCTGTGAGTACTGCTTGATTCACGTAAGTACAGTCTGTTTTCGCCCGGCGTTCTACCAAAGTTGGAGAAGACAACGGAGATGGAGACATGACTGATTGCGGTGCAGGGGAAGCGATTTGTTCAGCATTCCGTTGCTTAGAAGCCGCTACGCTTCGGTGGTCCATACTCGCTCCCATTGAATTAATCTCATTGTTTATCCTCTGCTCTGCTTCTGCGATTAACCGGTCGCATTTCTCAGCTAGGATAAGCAAGCACTTAACGAGTGGGATTGTAGAACACGCAGTACAGAACCAAAATGCATCTTGGGAGCTATTTCGCTCCCGTAACTGTTGTTGGGACACATTTGCACATTTCGTATGGTACCATTCCAAACAGTGCGAACAAGCTAGACCGATTTTTACTACCCCATGACATTCTCCTAACCCGCAAATGCCTTTCGATGGGAGTCTCTTCGGTTTCGCCTTTCTGCCATTCAATTTGGTGTCGTTACCTGACCCAGTGGGTTGGTTAGCGTTCTGTACTTTTACAGCTTTGAGAGCGGCGCACATCGGTCAGGCGAGCGTGGTGGTTGCAAGGTCAAATGAGCGGTCGGCGTGGTCGCGTGGTCCGTGTGATGGGTTATGCAGCCACACTGGCTGACAAGGTCACAAGGAATGGCGAGTGACTGCAACCTGAACAGAGCGCTGAACACAGATTATTTCACAGCTGTGTTGAGAAACACTGGATGGGAGTAAGCTTAGGCTTTTCGGCCTGCCTAGAGAATTCTGTATCGAATGGTGTCACACAGAATGGCAATCGGCTCAATACGATTGAATTAAACGCTTGCGCTTAGTCACAGATGCCAGTGAGAACGCTTAGTAATGGCACAGCCTCTAATCGTAGAAGATATTTCCACATATAATGGATCACTGTGTAGAGCTGGTAAATCCGGTTTGAATGAGCGTACAGTGACAACGCTGCGAGAAGATGGAGAGAGGATAGAGGGAAATAATCCAAATGAACCAGTAGCACGCACGTCACGCGTGTGTGAGGATGACCTTGATTGACCTTGATCAGTAGTATTGAGACGAAGAGGCGAGTGAGAATCTCTCCGGACCAAGGGCTGAAGCTGCGCCTGAGTGCCCAAAGTATACGTAGGCTGTTTTGGTAAATCTTATTCATGTTGTCCATGGGCTTTAGGTCGCAGCGTGATTGTACACCGAGGTCGCGCACGAAAGGAGCGGGATGTAACGGTTGTCCAGCCACTGTGTACGTTCGGCCGTGATCACACTTACCCAGCCTCATGAATTGAGACTTGGCAGGGTTGATCGGAAGGTTAACCTCTGCAGACCATGTTGAGAGGCGGTCGAGATCCTGCTGAAGTAAATCGCAATCATTGAGTGTGCGGATTACTCTCCACACTTTCAAGTCATCTGCGAACAAAGCACAATGTGATAGTAGTAGCTGAGGCACATCGTTTATATGGATTAGAAACAATATCGGGCCCAGTACAGTGCCTTGGGGCACGCCGCTGCTCGATGGATACCAGTCTGTTAGATGGTTGTCCACCTGGACTCTCCACTTCCGATCAATAACGAAATTGCTGATCCATTTGTGCAGCGAACCACCAACACCGCACATCCTCAGTCTGTCAAGGAGCACTGCATGGTTAACCTTGTCAAAAGCCTTACTGAAGTCAATGTAAATGACGTCAACCGATTGGCCTTTGTTCAGTGCTTGTAACCATTCGTGCCTCGTCAACAGTAGGTTGGTGATGCACGAACGACCTTTCAGGAAACCATGCTGTGCGGAGGTTAACAGGTTTTTCGACTCGAGAAGTTGCAGAAGGCTCTTCTTCACTATCTTCTCGAGCGTCTTTGCCAAAACTGCCGTCAGGCAGATCGGCCAGTAGTTATCCACTTTGCTTGGGTTACCACCTTTCGGGATAGGCTTTACGACTGAGCATTTCCAGTCGTTCGGTAGTAGACCAGTGGATAGTGACCTGTTAAACAGTTCAGTTACAGAAGGTGCAATTATGGTCGATAATGACTTGAGGATTAGTGGGTGTATGCCATCTGGCCCAGCAGGTTTCGTCCCGTCAAGATTTGCTAGAATCTTGCGTACATCCTCAATATTGCAGTCCAGGCTGTTAAGTTCGGCTGGAGCGGTGCTCGTCGAACTCATTACAGACACCTGGTCACTTGCGAATACGGAGGCGAAGTGCGTTGCCAATGCTGACGCACGATCAGTACTCGAGGTTAGAGGCTGTCCTTCTGAGCCTTCTAACACTGGAATACTAGCTATAGGTCTTAGGCGCCGCTTCACATATGCGAAGATCCTCTTGGGGGCAGTTTTTGCGGCAGTTGCAAGCTCCTCTTCGAAGCTTCTGCGTTTTCTTGTTTTCGCGTTGTTGCAGCGATTTCGTTGTACCTTGTAGGCACTGTAGTCCTCATCAGAGCCAGATAACACGAATTTGTTCCATAGTCTACGTCGCCGTCGGGCCATTTTGTTGTACTCTTTGTCAAACCAATGTGGTTTGACTGGCCCAACTTTCCGAAATTTGAGGGGCACAAATCGGGCGCACAACGATTTCACTCCCTCTTTAATGATAGCCCAACAGGTTTCAATAGATGAATCCTGTGGTGATGATGATGATGATGATGATGATGATGATGATGATGATGATGATGATGATGATGATGATGATGATGATGATGATGATGATGATGATGATGATGATGATGATGATGATGATGAAGATGGTGAGAATGATGAGGATGAGGATTATGATGATGATGCTGACGAGGTCACTGATGATGATGATGAGGAGGATGATGATGATGCACAGCTCTTGGTTATCATGCGATATAAGATTACCGGGATTTGTATTATAGGAATAACGGTTACTCCTTTCGGGTACCGCTGCCTAAGAGCTTTTATTCTGTAGCAAACCACGCGGACTTTCTACACCAGTGTGCAACGTAATTGCTTGCTCAATGGGTCACGAGGAAGTCGAATATTAAGTGGGTAAGCGAATAAATATATAAATTACCTACCTGAGGTTTTCAACTAGCATGAAGTTCGAGTTGCGTATAACTTTAATGCGGTCCTCAAGACGTTGTCGGGCTTCCAACAAATTGTCACAAACCGTTTTCATGTGTTCTTTCACGATATCTTCGAATTTGCATTTGAGTGCGGTTAATCTAGGTTACAATGAGGAGGATACGGAGAACAAGTTCATAGACCTACATGTGGAATTTAGGTAAATGTTTTGCATATACTAAGAGGGATTTGATCTACACTACATGTGCAAGATAGCTTGTTTGTTTTAATAAGGAATCTGAGCTTACATTAAACCTCTGCCGCATTGCAGCATTGAAGTTTACTGGTTTTTTACCTTCCAAACGTCTAATTGTTTTACTGCTTATAAGCCCCTTTCATTTTCTCCCTTCCTGAATCGTGCGCTTCGCTTCGCATCAGTCCTGCTGATCCACTATCCAGCGTTTCCAGCACTTTGCAATGCTGTTTGGCTGCCTCACTCTAAACAGCTTGCTGTGAACACCTGTGGACCGTTGTTCTTTCGAATCAACAGCTCCGGTCGGGTGTTCACACATCATGCTTTGGTTCTCCATACGTGTGCGAGTGAAGATGTGTCTGTCTGTCACCCACCCACTCATTGGCCAGTTTTTCTCAACTAAATGCTTCTTGGCCAGATTCACGGTTTGTGCCATCGGCTCTGTGTGTTCCGTTACATTTGTGTCGGTCGCACTACTTGCGCTGGTTACACACGTGCAGAATTAAAGCATCCCTCATAAGTCTCCTCATTTATGTATGGTATTTGAGTCCTGTGCAACGAGGTACAGTGTGCTGGCGCTGATGGATACATGTTTAAAAAAGCATTCCTCGGTGAAAATTATTAGAGTGAGAAGTAATGAAAGGTAGAAAACTTTCCCGTTTACTCACTGAACTGATTTCGTTGCATTTCCCATTCTAGGTCGTAGGTCCTTATCAATCATTTCAATCGTCTTTGATTGTAAAGTATCCAGAAGCTTGTTCAGCTCAAGCATGGCGTTGGCTTGTAGGTCAGCAAGAAGCAATTTGGCCGCTTCCTCATGCCGCTTGATACGGGTTCGGTGTTGAACAATTTCCGTCAATCTTACGTTAGCGATATCCTGATGCACAAAAGATCAAACGACGTCTAATCAAACATAGTTTCCACCTTGATCAACAATGATATTTTCTTCATAGATCCTGTTCAGTTCATTTAACTTCCTTCTTCAGTGAATCACTGTTGACATGTTCATTTCTTAACACACTTTGGTTAGTGTACTCTAGTGGCCTCTTCCGCAAACTGACTGACCCAACAACAAGCCACTCAGCCGTGGTTTCTCACACCTGCTGATAAGCATAAACGTGTTATGCAACAAATCGAATTACAAATAACTTGATTTGGCTGGTCAACTTTTTGATTTGTTCTCCTAGTTGGGCAATTTTGCTGAAGACATTTCATCACAAGTCGAGCTGACTTCGTCTGTGCTTTACTGTGCACTGGGCAATCTAGTCGATCGAGGCACGGCGAGTCCTTCAACGCAGTAAAGCGTTAACGAAGTCACCCCGATAGGAGATTAAACGTCTGCAGCGAATTTGCCCACCTCGGCACCAGACCAAAAGGGGCTTAGCAAGTGTTATCTTCTAACCTTTTGCGTGTCATGCATGTGCTAACGTGGTTGGCATATTGGCCACGATAATGTCCCGTGGCATACATACGAATCCGGACAAGCTACACCACCTGCAAACAGTACTAGAAGCTTACCCAGAGAACAAGCCAGCCAATTGGCCGTTGTCCTCACTAATGTTTTATCTTTTAATTGAGAGCATCGTAGCAGCTTTTCAATCAGCTAGTCCTTCACATGACCAGAAAAGTACTGAACGGCCGCTTCGACCTGTTGGCTCTAGCCAGCAGTGCACCTACATCGGCTCCAGCAGAATCCGAATCCATGACCACCAACCAATACCTTATGCCACTGAGCAATAGGGACATAGGCGGACCATTATGATTTACTAACTAACTGCGATATAACTCGTCCTATCATTCAGTGCCATACGAGTCACGAATGTTGCAAAGGGCACGGTTGGCTCGGAGACACACGACTTTCATTGACAGCAGCCATATACCACCCAGCAGTTTGGGGCTATTGGAGCGAATATTTTAATGAAGTAGGGGACCTTTTTGTAATTAATTGAGAGTTCTTCGTATCAGTGCACTTCGGACGAAACTCAACGGGTCGTAACGATGGGCTAACGCTTTGCGGGACATGTGAAGCTTTACCTGATTTCAAAGCTGAAGTGATGAACTCGCAATTAGTCACATCAAAATTCCCCACGCATATGGGCATACTATTTGCAAAATTTCTATGCAGGTTTCTTCACACAGTACAGTTACATGTAGAGAATCCGTATACTGAGCATGTGGGTGCTGATCCCCCAGCTTCGCGATCCGGTTCAATAGAGGCCACAAGTTGTCGGAACGAATCTACCGAAATGCTTTAGGTAGAACACACCACGTGCCCTCAGAACGAATGGGCTCTTATGCAAGCGTCCCCTCTAAGTCTGCCCTCCTCGCTCTCATTCGTACTCAGATACGCATTTTGCAGCTTGCTACTGACTAGATGCGCGGTTATCAATTGAGCGTTAACAAAGCTAACATGCCAATACCCAGACGGAGACACTCACGGATAAGGTATTGTACGTTTGTTGCGCTCAGAGTGGCCATTTACGTTTCTTTGGATGTATGCCATAAGCGTTACGGGCACCGGTTTACAGGCGGACATAATGCGTTAAGCATAATACAACAAGAGGCGCTTCAAAGGGACACACATTTAACTCGCTTTTGCCTATCCGACTGAGAATACCATTTTAGAAACCTTTAATAAAGGTAGTGTGCCGCACCACATTGACAATTGCACCACGGTTGGACGTTCTCCTATTTGGAGACAATGACGAATATTGGTGTATCAACCTCGTGGCTTGTACATTATGACCTTGAGTAGTCTTGGCAATAACGGATACGAGTCGGCCTATGTTGCGAAATGTTGTCATGCAATATGACCTCCTTAGTTGTGACAGTGACGAAAAGCGCGGACATGACTACCAGTCAAAACTATTAATGCATAATAAAAGCTAAGATAGTGGCATCATAGACGGTTGGCTTTCTTGATTGGGGAAATTATGGTTACGTGGAGCGTTGGAAAAGGTAAGGTGATGTCGCAGTCGTCGTTCCGATTTCAGTCCATGCATGAGAACCCAGCATTATTGTATTCAACAAAAGAGGGAGTAGGTACTCGATTTTAAGAACAGGGCTTTTCTCAATAAACTGGAAGTTGCAACCCCTCATCCGGCGTAAATGGACCTAGCTAGTATTGGATGCAATGGTGAGCCAAACATTTAGACGAGTAGCGTAGCTGATCCTAATGACAGGATCCTTTGATGTTTACATGCTTACAGAAAAATGTTATATCATTTGTGGATTAATGAGAGGGGGCAAGTTAACTTGCCTCTCGAGCTCGGTGGGCCTGTGTCTCATTCAATCGAATGTGTAAATCAAACTCGGCGTTGGCTTCCTCTCGACGAAGCACTGTCTCCTCGTTCGTCTGATCCAACACCGTCCAATACCATTCCCCCATGTGCGTTAAAAAATTCTGACAAAATAAAAGTGTTTACACAAGTCTGTTAGCATCAGGTCAATTAAAACTGGGTGAATTAGATGGCATAGGACGCCACACATACAGATTCATTTTGTTACACATAAACGTGCCATCTGCTTTTCGGCGAGACGAATGGACAACGAGCCATTAAACGAACAAGGATCCAGAAGAGTGGGGAAAACGAAAAGATCCGAAGATGAGATTGGATAGCCAGCTACGTTGTAGGGCTGATGAACTGAGGTTCAGTGATAGGAGTCAATATAACGATGCTACTAAGTCACAAATTGTTCCAAGTCACAAGCAGTCTCCCACGACTGGATGCGGCTGGTCTCAATTCACCTGTGTCGAAGATTGTTAACGAACTGGCACTGTCCTCCAATGGCCTTTGTACTCTCGCAACCCAATGGTTCAACTCAGGCTAAGTAGCTTGTTCGCAAACGATCTACTCTTGAGCTGCTGTTCGGTTGCAAGTGAAGTACTTTACTTAGCACATTCAGGCAGTTCATTTTTGGTACTCTCTCAATCTTTGTGCTAGAGTTCTGTGACTACTCCCTTCAGTCCTCATAAGCAATAAATCTCGGGCACCGGCGTTCATGTAAACAAAAGCCGCCTACACACTCATAGCACGTCACATCTCCTATCGGCATGGGACAGTGCACACCTGTGTTCCCTGTCTTCGTACGATACGCGATTGGGCTTATTCACTGCACTGCTCCGAACCGCATAGGGCCAAACCAGCATCTGTGGTGTACATCGCAGCATCTTTTGTAATTGGTCCAAAAGAGGTGTTAATGTAATATACACGTCTGAACTAATGGCCTTCACCAATGACTTCGTAAATTATGCACCACCGACTGCTGTGGCACTAATCTGCAACTTGAATGCGGAAAGCACATACAGAAAGATATGTAACACGAAACCAAACGACTACACAGCGAACACACAGGAAGCGAGTATAAGGGAAATTATCCGTGGCTTCAGAGTCTGTCTGGCAAGTGCCCGAAAAAATCAAGAACCAAAACTAAACCGCAAGTTACACAGTGCACGCTTCTCGAAAGTTATATTAGGAGTAAGCCGCGTTACCAATCGCTCATCACGCTGGCCTCCAAAGGTCTCAGAAATTCTGTTAGTGCAGTAAGCATTGCAAAACTTATATATTCTAGACACTGTTACCCTATATGTCTACCTCATGATGGTGACCTTCGGGAACACAAAATCCACCCAGCCAGAGTAGTAGAGAAGTGTGCACTGGTTCCGAGTACGCAAATAAACATGCGGATATTGTTAAGGTAGGTGCTTCCTTCAGTCCTCTAGCAAACATTAATGAGGCTGTTTCGGGTATTATTGCGCTATCCAAAAATCCCAGAGTTTAACCAATCACCGTTTTATGACGATGATAAATATCACTGAAATTCTCCTCTCTGGCCAATGCTTAAAGGAACAGATATCGCCAAAAGAATATCGGATAGCAAATACTTCGTTAAATATGATGCATAGCAGATGGCACACATGCCAATGCTCAGCTTCATTTGGAGAAGCGTATAAGTACCAAACACTGACAGACAAGGCAACTTTTCGCAAGAAAATGGTCAATGGCCTACTCCCATATGACTATGATCAGTGCATAACCGTACGACCTCTAACAAGTGATCAAGTCGGTGTGGGAAACACCAGTAAAATGCAAGCCATCACGTTTCGCTGTGTTGGGGAAATAAACTACTTGTGCCACCACGTCCAAATTACCTTTGTCTCGCGTTAGCCGTATGACGATTTCCTTAATGGAAGGTGGAAAGGACAGGTGAACAATATTATGCTAAATCAGTAGGGGAAGCGTCATCATCATTATACACGTTAGCTAGAGGTGGGAAACATCTCAGCTACTATGCTGCAAGAAGTAGAAAGAAAAAGGGGGAAATGCAATAGATGCAAGCCAGCTGAACTACCAGTAACAGATGGGCATCGTTCCGGTACGCTACCAGTCGGCTATTATGCAGCAAAAGAACACTGTGTAAAATTATATAAGGCTAAATTGGGAGGTTGTGGTTGGAAGGGAAAGCTAAGAGGGATGGGGTAGGATAAGGAAACTCACAGCCCGAAGGCCACAGAGGTAGGCTCCTAGCCATATCAGCAAGTATGTCCAACCAAATGTGGAAGGGTGACAGATGTCGTGCTCGTTTGTTGTGAGATGCTATCCAACGCAACCGATTAGAATCGGCAATTGTGTGGAAAATGTTAAGTAGTTGGGCTTGATATCGCTGGTTCCGCTCGCAGCCCTTCGGTTTGCCTACGTTCCGTTGACGGTTTAGACAGTCTACATGTCACAATTGATGACAAGTCACTTCAAGCTTTAAAATGATATAAGTCAGCGGGTCGTTCCTTTCCGTTCTAACTAACTTAGTAAGTAGACACTTTGCCTATCTATTAGTCACCACCTATATTTGGAGACAAAAAGATAACGAATATGGTAGAAAATGTACAATATTGCTCTGTTGGGGAATAACTAATACTGCTACCCTACTCCCAATCAGATAAGTTTAGATTTGCTGACAGTGTATAGAGCAAAACATGGAAAAGTTTTTGATAACTACTAATGGAGCTTGTATTATATGTTATATGCCTTCGGATCCCTATTTAACTTATTTTATTCAATACAAGCATAAGCTGGTACCAACCGAACAGCTCTGTTTGCAGAGATCATCTAAACGCAACTCATCTGCGACAGTTTGTGGGCCAACTATCAGCAGCGTAGCAAGGGATCTAGACGAGTTGGGCGGTTTGCCCCGAATCGCGCGTGTTACGGTTTCCATTTCCCTTTGTTGCAAATATTATTTAAGAACTTCAAGGTGAAGTAATTCATTGTTCTTTACCAAGCCATTTTATCCTTGCTTCTAGTCCTAATTATAGTTGCTGTCTTCCTATATCGTTGTTTTTGTTTGAGCAGGTTCGAGTTTTCATCGAGTGACTTTTGTCAGGATGTTTGCGCGAAGTTTCGATAATGGTGCTTTCTTCAGAGAGTTAAGCAGAGAGGCGCAGCATTCTGTAACACATAAGGCAAGGAAAATATGATAGAAAGAATGAAGGTGCCCTGTTAAAATTCTCTAAGAGTACTGCTCTGAATGAAGTGACAAAAACGAAAGATGATAGTCACGCTGTCAAAGAAGATGAAGTAGGTGCTGCGAACGTTGATACCAGTGCAGCAGCAAGTAGCATTGACTGCGATGAGGTAGGAGAAATTTTCTACAATGATGATGTTGAAGATGTGCGCCAATTTGAAGTATTTGGAAAGCGATCAGTAGTTAAAGCGAGAAAAGCGCATCAACCGGTTTTATGGATATCGACATCGGTCCTCTTAGAACTCACCAAGAAATTTGCTGTGACTCTTGTGGTGAAGAGATTATCGGAAACCGTCACTGCATTCGGATAGCTCACAGATGGCGAAAATACAACCAAAAAATCAGAAGCATCTTTAATTCTCATCACGGCACTATCGTTTCCGTTTCTTACGTTTCAAAACCTTTAGAGATCTATTTTTTCATGGAAGTATCCTCAGAAAAATGGCTGGAGCTGCAGCCGAGTTCTGTTAAGCTCACAGCTTCAAGAAAGTGCCTTCTTCACAATCGAGTAAAGGTGGTGGGTACTACAATAGATGAACTCAAAAATTCTATCTTAAACCGGGGATAAGGAAAGAGATTCAATCCCGCAAGCAGAAATATATAGGGAGTAAAACTGTTTGATGCAGCCATGAGATTTGATGCTAAGCTGAAACGGAAAAGTGTTTTCTGTCATAGATAGATTAATTGATGAATTATGTCGTAGGTTTCCGTATTTCGTGGCTCTGCTAACCAACTTGATTTCCTTACTCCTTCAAATCTGCTTGATGATACTTATGGTTGTTGGTTTAGAGAAGTTAATGAAGATGAATAAGAAGGGGAATTCTTTGTTAAAAGAAACGGACGACAGTATTTCGTGGAAGTTTAGAATACGATAAGATAAATGGACCCGTTGAACTATTAAACTTCATACAAAAGCAGTCCCTTGAGGAATCGGCCTTGAAAATTGTGACTGCAGCGCAATTTTCTTACCCAAGCTATTAGTAATATCAGCTGTTGGCGCACTTTCCCAAAAGTCAAGATTGTAAAGACTTACATTCGAACAGGAATAAGCCGGACAAGCCTCAAGCACTAGATATTTCTCTCTATACGAGATAACTTACCAACGGACTGATAGCGTAAATGAGAGTGTAACAAAACTAATGAATAGCCCTAATAGTGTCACTCGGAAATTAGATCTTTGGTTGCTGTTCCTTGTAGAGGTGTAATTTAAAGGTCAATTGAAAATACAAAGGTCAACGGATTTTCAACTGCTCGAAGGGGAGAGCACGAAAATCATACGACTGCACCGGAACTCTGTAGCAGTTGCTGCGCCGCTATCAGGAACCATCCGTCTTATGGCGCATACGTGGTGATATCCAGTGTTGTTGTAGTTGAATAGCAGTGTACATGTCAAAGAGTCCGGATGTGTGGTAAGAATTAATTCAGTTCTAGAACGCAAGTTTACGGAATGTATTATTTTCGACAAAACTCCTCACGCACTTACAATTATAAAATCGAATATTAGAGCACAAAAGTTTCATCGATCAACCAACACGTAATCTGTCACCTGAGATAGACAACTCTATCGATAAAGATGTTTGAGTTCCTGACTCTCATGATTCCATAAATCCCTTTTTACTTCATCAGTTCTTTGTCCCTTGAATAATCCGAACACCCAATGATTGTGATTTGCTTCAGCAGGATCTCGACCGCCTCTCGACATGGTCTGTAGAGGTTAACCTTCCGATCAACCCGGTCAAGTGGCAATTCATGAGGCTTGGTAAGTGTTAGCACAGTCGAACCTACACGGTGGCTGGTCAACCGTTGCATCCCGCACCTTTTGTGCGCGAGCTCGGTGTACAATCACGCTGCGACATAAAGTCCATGGACAATACAAATAGG